GCACACATGCTTCATCCCAAATCAGACAAGCTGCCTTTCACCTGATGTCTCAGCATTTTTCAAAAATGCCAGGCCTTGACACCACTCTCTGTGCATGCGTCTAGAACATTTTTCTACCTGCTGGACTCCTTTACAGCCTTCAAAGCCCAAACCAGATGCTCCACGCTCTTGAAGCCCTCACCTCCCAGGTAGTTCAGTGACTTCCTCTCCCCACCCCTTTCCTTCATTCCTGCATACTGCACAATACCTGCAACATGTCTGTCTTTCCTGTGCACCAGCAGCAAAGACCAACTTGATTCTCTACGCTCTCTTCCCGATGATCTGAGCCCACGTGACTGAAGAAGTTGGTAAAGAACTGACGAGTTAGTGTAAGGATGAAACATGTTACGGAGTACCACACAGCAGGAGTCCACTCTGAAAAGGGTTGGCTGGCTCGCTCATTCCTTCAGCATCTGTGCAGTGCCTACCAAGGGCCAGCAACACACAAGTGTCACCACAGCATCTGTCCTCCTGCTTTCCACAGCCCAAAAGAGGGAACAGTGCCCAACAGGATGAGTGGGAAACCATCCACAGTGCACAGGTGAGATGAGCAAGGGGCACCCGGGGCCGAAGAGTTGGGCAGGACAGCTCCATGAGACTCAGGGGTCGGGGGAGTCCAGCAGGCAGAGGAGCAGCCTGGACAAAGGCATAAAGGTAGTGGCAGCACGCCAGGCACACGAGGGAGGCGAGAGTATAAACACCTGAGCCCGCACTGTTGCATCCAAAGCAGACACTCTGCGGCCAACACCATTCAAGTGGCTGTTGTGAGTTGTCACCTCCAGCCCGCAGCCAGGGGCAGTGATGTCTTCCATATCATCTCTGTCACCTGGCCAGTCCTCTCCTGACCCACAGCTTACACTGTTGAGACAGCTGCTCGGATCATGAGACACACACAACTGGCCCAAAAGACGAACACATTGGGCACATGCCACTCAGCAAGTGCAGAGACCCACTGCTCACTTCACAGGTGGTGGGGGGGGCCACTGGCTTAAGACTGTACAGCAAGATGAGTAACCACAGCAGCCAGGCGCTTGAGGAAACAAGGCCTCAGAGGACACCATCCCTGACCACGCGGGCCTTACAACCCATGTCCCCCAAATCCATGTGCGGAAGCCCGAAACCCCCGCACTTCAGAATGGACCTAAATTAGGAGAAAATGCTGTAAAGTGTTAATATAGGTAAAATGAGGCCATGTATGTGGACCCTGATCAAAGATGAGTGTCATTCTTTCTTCTGCTTTTGTTTTACTGTTTTGGTTTTGAGACAGGGTCTCATGTGCAGTTCAGACTGGGCTCGAACTCACGCCAGGCAGACCTCCTGCCACAGGATCCCAAGTGCTGGGATTACAGGTACGCACCATGTGCTAGGTTGACTGTTTTTTAAGAAGAGGAGATCAGGGCTGTTAGGAAAAAAAGAAGAAACAGAGGTATGCTCAACAAACCGGAGAGGGGCTGCTCTGGCACTAGAGAGCAGACCAGCTGCCTTTCTTCGTGCAGGCTATGGGGTCTGTGTAGGGTCATGGGGAGGGGGTGGGCAGAGAGAGGAGCTGTGGCTCCCTGCCAAAAACAAGCTTCAGAGAGCAAGCAGTGATGGCTGCCCAAGGACACAGCTTGGGGAAGTTCGGGGAGCAGCGGCTGCTCAGTAGCAGAGCTGACAGTGTTAGGAGTCCACAGGCAGCCGTGCTGGGAGGGACGGTTTAGGGGGTCTCTGATCAGGATGGTAGTGGTCAGATCCCTTCAAGAACACAGACAGCACTGTGCTCTCCCTTCCCCACTGAGCGCCTAGGACCTGCCTTTGTCACACTGCGGGCCTCAGTGGTAAAAGTCCCCAGTGGGCAGTAGATGGCACCTCAACTGGGCCACCTAAGAAGAGGCCCTCTTTGTCTTTGTCTTGGTTGTTATATTTGCTTTTAAGAAAGCGATTCTTATCCATGGGTTTAAGGAAATCAAAGGGAAACAGTGCATTACTCAGTGCCCTCCTCCCACCCCAGGTCTGCAAGAGCAATGCTGGCAGTTATAACATCCGGGGCCAGAACAGGATAGCACTTGCAGAAAGAAGGCCATCTTCAGGAAGACGCACTACTGACCCTTTGTAACCCATCAGAAAAGGAGCTTGCGGGATGCATGCCAGGACTTTGCTCTCTTCCCAGTCTCCCTTGGCCAAGCCTAGACTGAAGACAGCCCTTGGCTGCACCTTCACTGTCTTGGGAGGGAGGGACGTGACCAGGGGGCTGCACCCTGGGGATCAGGCATCTTCCTTACCTAATGCACAAGGAGCAGCCCCAATGAAGATTTCAACCTGTTTGTTATAGAAGTAGCCAGCCAAAGCCTCAGCAGAAGCAATTTACAAAGTTGCTACAGTACCTGGCTAGGACAGAAATGCTGCCCTCACTGAGAGAAAATGGGCAGCCTTGAAAAGTGGCCATGAAAATCTCAGTCATCAACAGTTGTTTAAAAATGGAGTCTCACCTAAAAGATGTGACCGATCCTGTTGTTCGTCATGCTGTACCAAGCTATCCAAGTAGACAGAAACCTGCAAGGCTAGCTTTACACATTTACCATCTGACTTTGTTCACTGCCATTGGTCAGAGTCAGGGTGGCCTTTGGGGGTTTTGGGTGCAAAACCTTCTGCTGGTTTTTCAGTGAATATGTTCAGGCTGCCATCTCCAAAACATTTGTGTGTCCTGTATCTTTGGCTACCACAGCCCTTTCTGCCCCTAGGGGTGGTGACAGCTGAAGACACCTGGGTAAGAATCTTGAGAATGCACACTCTCAAGTGAGCTCCAAACCCAGTCAAAGGAAAGCAGAAAGATGGACAATAACCAGAGGGGCCATTTATCAACAGGTACAGCGTAGCCACTGGCTCCTGGGGAACAATTCCCCTGCCATGTCCAGGGTCAGCCCTTTAATTTCAAGATCTGAGGTAGGAGGTCCTGTGGGTCTGGTGCCAGTAGGGACACAGCACTGGGGCTCTGAGCGCTTGCTGTTTATTAAAACATACCAGTCTGTATGGGTTGAATGGCAGGAAAACCAACCAATCCTAGCTGGCCCTGGTCTTCCTTGTTTTAGCACTGGTCATCCCTTGTCCCAGAAATCTTAGTCCCACATGAGGGTTCGTTTTGATTTTTTTTTTTTTTTTTTTTTTTGAGAAAGGGTCTTGCTATGTAGTTTAGGCTGGCCTTGAACTCGCAGAAGTCCTCCTGCCTCAGCCCACTGTACTAGCCATGGTGTCTGCTGGTCAGGTCACCCAGCACAGGCCTGAGGTCCTCACAGAGACGCTGTCTGTGCTGAGGCAGAAACAGGATCATGGGGCCCTGCAGGAATTCAAGCCACACTTCCCAGCCTCCTCCCTTTGCTGGCTGGTGCCCACAGAGTCCTCAGCATCCTGGCTCCTTGGCCCACACTGGACACCACCTCAACCCTGTTCCAATCACTGCTATACAGGGTCCTTAAAGGACTTCCGTGCTCCGTAGATGGAGAACAGTCACTTATTTATTCCCTCCCCAGTTCCTCTTTGCCTGGCTAACATTTCTCCGTGCTCAGGTCTCTCTTTGAAAGTCACCTGTTCAGTCAGACCAGGTGAGCTGAAGCTAGTTTCCCGAGTGTTTGCTGGGCTCACTCTACAGCCTGTCTCACATACTGTAGTCAGCTTGCTTAAAGAAAACGGAAACTGAAAACTCCCTCAGGGCACAAGTTCAAGTGCCTGGCAGAGAGTGGGCCTTTCATTAATTCTGAAAGCAGCAAAAGACTGAACAGTAGTTAAAACAGTGGGGCAAGCTGTAAGCCCTTTTGGAGATGCTAAGTAAGCCATGGATAGCTGTCACCTTGGTGTGTGTCCCTGTGTCCTGGGTAGACGAGAAAGCTCTGCCTACATCTGTCCACTTGGTGCTGAGCTGTGGGGAGAGAGGCAGGCTCTTTCTGGGGCAGAGGAGAGGGCTCAGTTACTACTCTGTTCCATCGCCTCCCTCTGCCCTCTCTCTCCTCTGACCACCCAGAGTCTCCCTTACCTCCTCCAATAGGAGTGTCCTTGTTTGGGACCTCCACAGACTCTGAAGTATAAAACCAAATTTAAAAATACTACAAATACAAAATTCTAAAGTACTGCTTATTTTACAAGTTCTAAAACACAAGTCAAGTGAATTTTATAACTCCACAGTGCAGTTTTGTTGGTTATTGTTTTTAGAACTAACACAAGTAGAAACAAAAGCTATCCATCAACATTAGGGATCAGCAATGTTTTTTTTCTGTAATGAGCCGCATAAGTAAACCTCCTCAGTGTTGCAGGCCACAGGGTGTCTGCTGAAAGTGTGCCCTCTCCCCTGTGGGAGCAGCCGGAGGTAACATGAGTGAATGGATGTGGCTGTGTTCCAACAAAACTTTATTTACAAAAAAAAGGTAGCAAGTAGAATTTGGCCCTGGGCTCTATAGTTTGCCAACTCAGATCTACTTCACAGTAAGTTCATTACCAAAAATACGGTTTTGTTTTTTTAGGACTATGGGCCAGGAAAATGGGGTGGCTGAGCTCTGGTACTGAGCAGATATGGAACCAGGTATGGTAATGTGTCCTGAGCAGGGAATAGCTCAAATTACCTCATCTGTGTAGATTATTTGTGGTGCAATTCTACTAAATTTTTAAGATTCCAGTACTAAAGTTTGTTTAATTATAAAATGTTTTTCCTAAGCCCAAGCCAAAGCCAGCTTGACCCTTCACAGTTGACTGGTCAGCCATGGGCAGCCTTCCACAGTCATGGGTAAGAAGAGCAGGGTGTGGAGCGCTCTGCTGGCAGTCCCTGCCAGGTCGCACACACTAGGATAGCAAAGCCTCAAACGGAGTTGGGCAGAACAGGGATGAGCCAGCAGACAGAGCAAGAGGCACGCAAACTCTTCCTGAAAGTCTGTGTGGTCCCGCTTTGTGCCCCTTAGACATGTAATAAATCACAAAGGCATGTGAAACAGACTCACCAGGAATCTAGCAGCAGGCTTAGCTCTTCCAGTTGGACTGGCAGCAAAATCCCCTGCTTTAAGTCCAGAGTGTCACTCAGAGGGTATGAAGATGTCTGCAGGCTTCACTCCCATTGTGCCAGAGCAGGTGACCCTGCAGAAGATGCACACCAATGCCAATATGTTGAGCCATTCCTTCTGCTAGGGAAAAATTAGCCAGTGACCTAATAAAAGGTTTCATAGCTTATAACAGCACCCTGAAGTTTGCATTCCCAAGCAAGTCTTTCAAATATTAAAATTTTAGGGACTATAGTAAAATCAACCCTGCCTCCATGCACATCAGGGTACCAGTGATGAAATATTTTAAAGTAACTTATACATAATATGACATACCTCTCTTCTCTTATTGAATTTATGATTTTTAAAATTCCATTTTTACAGTTATTCTGGATTTTTAAAAAATAGTAACTGAAATAAAATTTGTAGCTTTATTTTCAGTTTTGAAATTGTGGCAATACATTATACAGTTATTATCATATCAAAAGTTTGAAACAATCCTTAAATATTCTTCTTAGGAGAACTGCACTATATGAAAACACATCTATTCCGGTAAATATTTTCATCCCAACTGATCCTGATTATCTGTAATTCACAGACATGTCCAATCTAAACACAGGAGACTAGCTGATTTCATAAAATTTTTCCACGATGAAAATTCAGGACATGGGCTTAAGCAAAATGTAGAGCATGAGAAAAATTCCAGAAAGGAAAAGAAGACTTTGTCATATTTCAAAACTTGTTTGCAATGTGCATTTAATAGTTCTGGTGAAGGATTTGTGTGCGTCAGCTCACAAAGTGGTAGATGGACAACTTGTTTTTACCAAATGCAACAGACAAGATCACAACATTACTTTATGTTGATAGCAGCATTTATGTGGTGTTAATAGCAGTCTGAAAAAGAGGTGCAACATTAGCCTTTGCTGTATACATTCTGCCTAACATTCAGTGGCATGGAACAATGGCCATTATTATTGTAGCTTCCTGGGGTGAAGATGGGAGTCAGCTGGTCTAGGCTGGGCTCAGCCAAGTTTACTCACATGGGACAGGTTGAGTGGGGACTCTGCTCTAGACTGCTTGTCTGGGGAAATTCTGCTTCATGTGGCTTCCATCTTCCTGCTGGGGGAGCGAGTTAGCCTCAGCATATCCTTCTGTTGGAGACAGCAGAAGCAAACAAGTGCAAATAGAAACACCCACTGTTTTTTTGAGCCTTTTGTCTTGGCCAAAGCAACTTACATGGCCAAACTCAAAATAAAGAGGCAGGAAATTTACTCTGCTTTTTTTCAAGGGAGAAGTCACAAAGGAAGTGCTGTAGGGTAGGGTGAAGAGCTGGGACCTGCTATGGTTTAGATCTAACATGGCCCCAAAGCCTCATGTGTTTGGAAGGTGATTGGATTATGTGGGCTGTATAGCGAGCAGCCTTGCTGTTGTGTAGTGAGGTCTAGTCCGAGGAGACAGGCCATTGGGGGCCTAGCCTGGAATGGTGGATCTCCCTCCCCAGCAACTCCCTTTCTGCTCTGCTTCCTGGCTGCCATGAGATGAGTGGTTTTCCTCCACCAAGCCCTTCTGTTCACAGTGGCTTTTTTTCCATATGAAGGCTGTGTGACCTTGGATGAGTTACCCATCGGGGGTGAAGATCTGACCCTCTTGAGCTGCCTGGCATCCCTTCCTCCTCCTAATGTCAGCACTTTGCTTTCAGGAAACCTCCCTGCCCTCATGGAATGATGTTTACATCCCCACTGGTGACAGTTAATAAGCTCAGTGGGCTTGAGACACTTGCTCCCAGCCCCTCTGTAAAGTTGGGTGAGGGCTAGTCGAGCTCCCCCTGGGATTTCCTCCAGCTCACCACTCCCTCACAGAGTTATTCTGTCCTGCAAGCAAAAGTGCAGAAGGCAAAGCTCCCTGGTATTACCCTGCTCTCAGGTCACCATTACAAGAAGGGATTTGAAGGCTAAGTGAGGTGCCTAAGGATACACCCTGGCTCTGCCCTTACAAGTGGTGCCCTGGGCAAATTCTCAAATGTTCTGCACCTCAGTTTTCCCAGTTATAAAACAAGGATGATGGTAAAAAAAAAAAAAAAAAAAAAAACAAGGATGATGGTATCCACCACATGGGCTTGTGGTGAGGCATAAATGAATTAATATGTGAGTGCTGCACTGTCTTATAAAATAGTCAAAGCCATGTTCCTATTAGATTCTATGGAATTAACATCTCACAAACCTAATTAGTATCTTCCCTTTTCTCCACCCCACTTTTGCCTTTTGACAGTGTTTGGATCAGTTAAATGAGCCCCATCTGTGCCAAAGTTAAGTATCAGAAGGGCCTGCCACCCGGGTTTGGTGGCCTGGCCTCTGCTTTTACAACCTACTTACACTCATGTCAGGAGAAAAGGAGGCACAGAAGTCTGGGCTGGATATTATTTGCTACAAATGAGGTCTGCCCTGAGACTGTTCAGGGTGAAACCAGCATTGTCCCCAGCTCCAAAGGGACCAAAGCCCTGGGCCAAAGTCTCCCAGCCACAGGGTGAAGGCAAAGCCCACTCCTCCCTTGCCCCAGTTAGCCAGTTACCCGCAGCCTCCAGTGTTCACTGGCCTGGACATTTCCCATGACTCGTGCCTTTTGAAGATGCATCTGGCACAATTACAACTTCCCATGGATGCTACAAGGTCCTCCAGGCGCTTGATCCACTCTGCCCCTCCTCCTTCCTGCCTAAACCATCCTGGTAGCAGGAGAGGCCTCTATCAGTATAATCATCTTGAGCTCTCTGTGCTGCTCCTCTCACTGCTTCCATACTCAGGAACTCTGGGACAAAGAAGTAGAGGATGAATGAGTACCTCTACCCTTTATTGTCAGCAGCTGCCTAGGGGAGGTTAATAGGAATGTGTAGGGAAGGAGGAATCTGTCCCAGAATCCCCACAGTAACATTTAGCACGGGCCAGGGATTTAGCTCAGTGGTTCTGCCGCCTGCCTCACAAGTGCAAGGTCCTGAGTTTGATCCTGGGTACAAGAAAGAAAAAATAATACAGGAGAACATTTAGCACAGAGTGTTGGAGTTAAAAATGTCTCTAAAATTTTTAAATTGAACCATCTTATTTTACAGATGGGGACCTGAAGCCCAAAGAGGCTACACGTGATCATTAGGCCACCAGGTGATAAAGGCGTGCAAATCCATGTCTTCTGAAAAATGTTAAAGAAACTAGGAATAAGCTAGGCATGGTGGCACATGCCTGTGATCCCAGCACTCTGGAAGGCTGACTGAGGCGGGAGGGTCACAAGTTCAAGCCAGCTTAGGCAACTTAGTGATTTAGGGAGACCCTGTCTCAAACTTTCAAAATACTTTGAAAAGGGCTGGGAAAATAGTTCAGTGTGAAAGCCCTGTGTTCAGTCCCCAGTAACACAGACACACACACACACACGCACCAGAAATATTTGGTTTTTTTCCTGGAGAAGATGGTATTCAGAGGGAATGTGAGCATTGATTTTTAAATATCTAAAGGGCTACTATAGAAAAGAGCTCTCTAAGAGATCAGAAGGGTACAAAAATGAAGTGGTTGCCCGTGGAAGTGCTCTGTCACTGGAGGGATCGAAGCACAAATGCACAAACAGAAATATCTTATAGAGAAAAACGGAACATCAAAATGAGGACAGGGCATCAAAAGTCAGACAATGCCCAGTGGCAAAGGAACATGGGAGCAGGTGGAGCTGTCAGACACCTGCTTGGGGGAGGGGTAACAGCACAGCCGCTGTGGAAAACCAGCCGTTTTCAAGAAGCTTAAACTTGCTCTTCCCGATGTTCTCGCAATCCCACTTTTAGGAATAGACTGAAATGCACAAGAGTGTTTCGCCAAAGACATACTTGAGACGTTCGCAGCAGATTACACAGAACAACCCCAAAGTGAAATCTCCCCAATTGCTCACCAAGAGGAGAGCAAATAAATAAATGTCACTGTCATCACAATTGGAATACTACACAGGAGTAGGAAGACTTTTTCTGTGAAGAGCCAGATAGTATTTTTAGCCGTACAGACCATATGGTTTCTACCTCAACCACTCAATTCTTCCAGTGTAGGCAAAAGCAGCCACAGACATAGACATAAACAGAAATAAATGGGAATGACTGTTTAAATTTTTTTTTTTTACAAAAACAGATGGAGTGCACAGTGTATTCAGTTTTTGAAAATTCATTAAGGTACATGGTTATGATATGTATGCTTTCTGAGTGCATATAAAGAGACACAATTCTTTAAGAAGGTCTTCCATTCAGTGCAAAAATAAATAGGAGCCATGAATATATTGGCCTGTGAGCTCGTGATGTAATGACTAGACCAAGCTCAAAGACAAGAGCAAAGCTGGTACCGAAACCCAGGCTCCCAGCTCCCAGGAAGGAAGGGGAATTCCTACCTAGAGAGCATTTCTTGGGTGCAGGGCACTCACAACTCCCTCCTTGTCATAACCCTCAGAGCACGAATGATCACACACATATTTTGTAGACGAAAGCACTGGTCTGGATAGCCTTGATCGTCGGGTAAGAAGCTGAAGCACCAACACCACTAGAGCCCAGACCCCATGTTCTTAAGGTGCCTGCACAGGTTTCTGATGTAAACATAGCATTTCTCTTTCTTTCTTTCTTTTCTTTCTCTCTCTCTCCTTCTCCCCCCCACCCCGCCCTTTCTCTCTTTCTTTCTGTCTTTCTTGTACTGGAGATTGAACCCAGGGAGTGATGAGCTACATCCCCAGACATTTTTATTCTTTTTATTTTGGAACAGAGTCTTGATAAGTTGCCCGGGCTGGCCTTGAACTTGCCATCCTCCTGTCTCAGCCTCCCAGAGAGCTGAGATTATAGTCATCCACCACCATGCCCAGCTGCATGGATTTTTTTACACACTGCATGTGTATAAACTATAACCCCCATTCTAAGAAATACTACCTAGGTTTGCTGGCATGCAAGGATCGTACTGTGGCTTTTCTCTCAGAAGCAAGCATAGGCTGAGGGGCTGGATAAAAGAGAGGAAGAGTGAGAACAGACATCATGCATGTGATGCCTCCTCCAGCCAGGGAGAGGGTGGGAGGGAAACACACTCAGGGGGAAGAAGGTGGCCCTATGGGCCAGTCCAGGGGGGAGCCGGAAGCACATCCCTTCTGTCTCTGTCACCTGCTCCTGCTCCCAAAACTGGTTGTAAAAAGCAAGAAAAACGTACCTCCTCATCCTGTTAAAAGAGTGGTGGTGTATTGGGTAAAGTTCTGCTTTCTGGTATTTTGAGACAGTTTTGATTAGTTCTCAATGGTTAAAAACTCAGAAGAGTTATACAGTGTGATCAAACTATGTGGTGAAATTTAAATTTTTTGAAATTACAGTGAAAGCCACATTGCCATTGATTGCCTTCAAAATACTCTTTACTTTGAACACATGTATCTCAGCATCCTCGCCAGTTTCTGAAGCACTTCTGGAAGTTCTCTTTTGTGTCTTTAAGAGATAGGATAAATAAAGTGAATGCTGTTATTAAGTGCTATCCAACAGAAAGGCAGATTCATAAAAACACTGTGATGTGTTCTCAATCCACCTTCTTCACTGGATCTTGCTCCATGCGACTTCTAGTTCTTCTTAAAGTCAAAATGACCATGAAAGATAAATGTTTGAATGGATTCTGGACACTGAGGTAGCCAGGACACTGTAACTAAAGACATTCATGAAAGGACTTCCACAACTGCTCCGGAAAGTGGCAAAAACGATGGGATTCGTGTGTTTGAAGCTAGAGGGATTACTTTGAGGGGGACTGATGGCAATGTGTCTTTCACTGTAATAAATTATTGTATTTAAACACACACCTTGTAGTTGCTCAGTGGTGGAAGTGGCGCTGTCTGTTGATTGTCCCTCTGAAGTTCTCTCTATAGACGCCTCAGTGTTGCACTTGTGTCAAATCCCCGCTCACTCACACTTCCAGTGCAGCCAATGGTGATTCCTGTCCCAGGGCACCTCCTTCCCTTCTGTCCAGGACTGCCTGGTTTACTGGACAAACTGTCCTCCTGCCACACTTCTTCCTCAAAGGTCCCTCACTTCACAGGTATGAGCATGAGGTTTAATTAAGAGAAAACACAAATACAGAGCCCTAACAGACATTAGGTACTAATGCGGGTGCACTTGGAGGATGAA